AGATTGAGGGGAAAAAATTCTGTTTACAAGTGAGAATGATGAGATTTGAATGAACGAAAGGGGATTGAAGCCATTTGAAGGCTCAAAGGTAAAGAGAGGATACTTTTAAGTGTCTTAACCCTTTAAAGCCTGATCCAAGAATAAAACAAAACAGAAAATTACTTTTTTTTGGTTTGAAGTCTTTATTTGGCCTTTTAACAATATGTAAAAAGAAAAAACAGAAATACATGTTTGATATTGATAATTTATTACTATGCGATAAATCAAGATTATTTTTGTGTAGTCTTCTGCCCCCTGTTATCAGGTGTATCTGATTGTGTACAATAGGATTTTGAGCAAAGTTTTTACCATTAAATTATGCAAAAGGTGTCAGACGCAAAACATTTCAGAAACCGTATGTATCAAATATGATACATTTGGCATTACAGGGTTAAGATCCACATCTAAACCCTTTCCCCTTAGACTCTCCCTTGGCTCCAGGCTAAAGGTATCTGAGTTCAAACAATTTGCACTGTTCCCGCAACAGTGGAAAAGATGATTTTAGTTCTCCAACAGGTTTTATGTCAGACTTGGAGGGTTTCAGCTGTTCGAGGTAAATCTGAGAATGCTGCAGATTTCTTATCGAGTCGCTTAAACGCACTGAAATGTAATCAGAAAGCTCGTCTCAGTCGGTTCCTGACTCGTTTCTGGCCTGGACGGAGGCCGTTTTTAAACCCCGTGTTTGTCCGTTGCTCCTCAGGCATCGAGCCGACGGGGAACCGGGTTCTGCGCCCGGCCGTGTTTACGGTGGACGCCTTCAGCGCGGGCCAGGGCCAGGTCACCGTCTACCTGGACCACCCGGACGGGACCCGGGAGGAGGTACCCGCCGGATACCCCGCTCCCGAGAGCACCGGGGGTTTTACCAACACCTCCTAATACTAATACTCTGCCTGTGTCTGTTAGCTGAAGGCGGAGCCTAACGAGGGGAAGAAGACCTTTAGCGTCACCTATATTCCTCAGGTCACCGGACCCCACAAGGTAGGGAAACGCCTGAAAACAAGTAATCGCACTTATTGATAATTGGAGATAGAGGTGGAGACTGAGATACTGGATGAACCCTAACTTTAACTTTCACTACCTGAACTTTAAACTAACATAGTTTATTTATTTTTATATATATATTTCTTTGGCTTCGAGGTCAGTTTTTGCTAAATATATTGTTAAAATATTCGTGTGTTGGTTAAAATATTCCCATAAGAATACACTGTAATTCCTATCATTCGTTCCCGTCTGCCCTGCAGGTGACGGTTCTGTTCGCGGGGCAGGAGATCCCCAAAAGCCCGTTCCAGGTGGAGGTGGACAAAGCTCTGGGCGACGCCTCCAAGGTGACGGCCTCCGGCCCCGGCCTGGAGCCGGTGGGCAACGTGGCCAACAAGCCCACATACTTCGACATCTACACGGCCGGTGAGCGCTAGGGATGGGGATCGTTAATATTTATTCATATCGATACTTTTCTGTTATTTGGTGGAAAGACGATGCGACAATATTTAGCAAATAAATAATTGTATTTTAAATTAAATGTAATTTTTAATAAATGTTGGCATCAGTAGTTTAATTATATATTCTAAAAATAATTAGAGCAATATACAACTGTATTACTCGTGTTTCTCGCCAAAAACTCAATTTCCCTTTTCTTTACGTTACACTTGAACGCATCATGATAACCTAATTGTCGTTTTACTGAGCCAATCTGAACACATCATCACGCAGCACGTCTGAAACTTTATTTACTTTTCAAGCTAACTAGCTTGTATGCTGCCGATTACAACACGGATTTCACAATTACTATTGTAATAATAAAAAAAACTAAAATAATTATTAAGCCCTACCCCTCAGTTACATTAGTCGTTGTGCTAAAGGAAAAGGACAGTTATTTACAGTAAGACAAACAGTATAACTTTATGTATTCTTTTTTTGTATTTATCAAAAATACTTTTCTTATATTGTTTTTTGAATTGCTGGATGCCATTACATTGTTTAATATTTTCAGGCAAACTGTTCCAGAGCTTCACTCCACTAACTGATAAACTGAAGGTTCTTTTTGTTGTTCGAACACACTTGGTTTTGAAATTAAATTTTCCTCTTAAATTATATTTTCCATCTCTATCTGTAAACAATAGTTGTATGTGTGCAGGAAGTAATTTATTTATTGCTTTATAAAGAATTTGAGCAGTTTTGAAATCGATCATGTCTACAAATTTGAGAACTCTTCGTTACTCGTATTGCTTTCTTTTGCATAATAATCAGTGGTTGAATGTTTCGATTGTAAGTGTGGCCCCACATTTCAACAGAATAGGTTAGATAGGGCTGAAACAATGAGAAGTATAATGTGTGTAAAGCTTGTTTGGTTTGAAGGTGCCGGGCTTTATTTATTACAGCCAAACATCTGGCCAGTTCTCCACCTCTGCCCCCCCCACCAGCTCTTCTCCTTCACATCCTCCTCCTCTTCATCCTCCATTTTTCATCTAGTCTACGTTTTGCTGTGTTGGCTGCCTCTCTCTGCTCTCTCTCTCTCTCTCTCGCCCTCTCTCTCTCTCACCCCCAACCGGCCGAGGCAGATGGCCGCCCACCCTGAGCCATGGTTCTGCTCCAGGTTTCTGCCTGTTAAAATGAAGTTTTTCCTTGCCTGTGTCGCCTAGTGCTTGCTCATGGTGGGAATTGTTGGGTTTCTGTAATTAACTTCAGAGTAGGGTCTGACCTGCTCTGTTTGGAAAGCGCTGTGAGACAACTGTTGTTGTGATGTGGCGCTATATAAATAAAATTGAATTAAATTGAATTCTCCTGCTCCTCCTCTTCCTCGCCTAGGCGCGGGTACGGGGGACGTGACGGTGGCGATCCGGGACCCTCAGGGCCGGCAGAACAGCGTTGAGGCCCTGATGGAGGACCGGGGCGACAGCAGCTACCGCTGCACCTACAGACCCGCGCAGGCCGGACCCCACCTGCTCGCCCTGTCCTTCGGCGGGGCGCCGATCCCCAGGAGCCCGTTCGCCGTGGACGTGGGGCCCGGTCAGACACACGCCGATACCTGGCACAGCATACAGAGCCCTTCACAATTATTGGCAACCCTGTTTAAGATGTGGTTGAGGATTACAAAAAATTCTCCTTTTTCTTTTCTTTTTTTTTAACCCTTTAAAGCCTGATCCAAGAAAATTAGGAAGAATATTGGATTTTTTTAGTCTGAAGTCTTTATTTGGCCCTTCAACATCATATGAAGAAAAAAAACTATTTTAAAAAAAAATCAAATTAGCGTGCAATAAGTCAAAAATATATTTTGGTGTAGTCTTCTACTGGCTGTTATCAGGTATATCTGAATGTGCACAACAGGGGTTTGATTGAAGCTTTTACCATTGAATGATGCAAAAAAAGTCTCAGATCCAAAAGACTTCAGAAACCGTATTAATCAAATATGATACATTTGGCATTATAGGGTTAAAACAACATAGAACCCAAATGCAAAAAAAGAGAAAAATCCAACCTTTTATTGAAGAACATTTTTTTGGTCGTAGAAATAAAATCACACATTTAGAAAATAAAAAACACGAAATCACGTGTCCCACAATTGTTGGCACCCCTAACAGTTAGACTTGGAGACTTAGACAGTACTTTATTGATCCCTTGGAAAGACTCCCTCAGGAAATTAAGGTTACCAGCAGCTTACATGGCAAAAAAGTATTAAGTTAAATTAAATTTAGCAAAAAAAAAAGAAAAATGTAATTGATTTCCTTTAAATATATTCTTCTGTAGTTGCTAAAGTTGGTCAGGCTATCTAGGAACTTTTGATTAGTAATTCATGACTTCCTGTTTCCCTAGGAGGATAGATATGACGTGACGATTTCACGTTTTTTATTTTATAAACGTGTGATTTTATTTTTACCACCAAAGTAATGTACTTAAATAAAAGGTTGGATTTTTCTCTTTTTTTTTTTTCATTTGGGTTCTATGTTGTTTTTGTAAAAAAATAGATTTTTTAGAAGTCCTCAACCACATAAACGGGGGTTAATAATTGTGGAGGGCGCTGTATTTCACGTTTTTTATTTCCTAAACGTGTGATTTTATTTTTGCCACCAAAGTAATGTACTTGGATAAAAGGTTGGATTTTTCTCTTTTTTTTCCATTTGGGTTCTGTTTTTTTTTTTTTTTTTGTTTTAAAGATAATTTTCAGAAGTCCTCAACACACCATAAAGGGGGGTTAATAGTTGTGGAGGGCTCTGTAACAGAGCCTAACCTGTGTTTTTTTTCCCCGGCAGCCTGCGTGCCGGGCGCCTGCCGGGCGACCGGGCGGGGCCTCCAGCCCTCGGGGGTCAGAGTGAAGCAGGTCGCCGACTTTAAGGTGGACGCCAGGAACGCGGGCAGCGGC